AGCTTGGTCAGCCCTGAAGTGGTCAGGCAGTTGGACTGGGTGATGGTTGCAGGTCCCTTCCAACTGAAATAGTCTATTCTGTTCTATAGGTGTGCATGACAGGACATTAAAGAAGCAAAAAGGAAAGACAACAAAAACATAGACTTACTTCCCACCGCACCCCACCCATGGACAGAAGATTTATAAAGTTGAGTAGACATTTGTAAAAGTGGTAATTAAAGTGTAAATTACCAGGAGTTATAAAAGTTAGTTAATCCCAACCTGACATTGGAGCAGGTACGGCCCTCAACGGGAAGACTGTGGCTTGTGAAGGATTCATTCTGAAGCATAGGAAAGGAATGAGAAATGAGGAAGGGGAGAGAGAAATCACTACATCCCGGCTGCAGCCCCACCGTGCTGCTTGTTTCCTCACTGGAGGGACCGAGTGTGACCTGTGGTGATAACAAGGCGGGGGAGAGGAGCCTGGAGTGAAGCTGAGCCTGGGAAAGGAGGAGGGACATTTTTTCCCTAAGCGTTTTAACATTTGTCTTTTTTTGCTTCCCAATACGCAAACCAGTAATTATGTATTTATGCTAATTGGCAAGAAATTAAGTTAAACTCCCCAAGCTGAGGCTGTTTTGCCCATGACAGTATGTGGTAAGTGATTTCCCTGTCTAAGCTTTCTTGCTCCTGTTCTTCCCATTTTCTCCCCCGTCCCGCTGGGGTATAGGGGGGTGAGCGTGCGGCTGTTTGGGTGCTTGGCTGTTGGCCGGGGCCAGCCCACCGCTATCATCAGGGCAAGTGTGACAATCAGAGAATTGCCGGGAGAACTGAGCTTATTGAAATACATTTTCTGATGCTCGGAAGCCATCTACTGGAGAGGTAAAAAGAACACAAAATCCTTCATAGCTAAATGCTGCATGCGTCGTCTGAAACTCAAAGGCTGATCATTTCCAACATTTCTAAGGTGCAGTGTATCACAATGCTGAAAATTACGACCATGGGGAAAACACGGAGGTGAACATAGGAACTTGGCTTGAAGGACACAAGGAGTTATTAGCTGCTGTATGTGCTGTCGACTTCAGCAGGTGCTACACACAAACTTGCACAAGTCCATTCAAACTAGTTGCCTCCACATTTCAGTAGGGAATGGATTGATCTACGGCCAAACGCTTCACTGAAGAGGAAGATGTTTCGGTTAAATGCCCTTCCGAGGCATTAACCTTTGAATTATGCAAAATTGGAATACGCTGGAAGATGAAAGCATTGCAGCACCCGCCCTACTTCTTGCATGCATTCTATTTTTCCCTCCCACCTTCATCGACCACCGTGCACAACCGTGTGCCACCAGTCCCAGCCATGCTCCAGCCATCCTTGTCACCCACTAGGCCTGGCTGATACAAACCCGAGACAAAGGCTCATGGAAAGAGATGCAAATCAGCCAAGCCCCAGGGAGATAGTTCTCTGCATTTCTCCCGTGTCCCCGCTAGGTACATCACCTCCTGTCTCTGGGCCATGTGGGTTTCCTTGGGAAGTTTCAGACAAATCTCTGAAAAAGCCTCTGCAAGGCTGCCTGTTGCACCCCTGGCCAAGATCCGGTTTGGAGTAACACGGCACAGGGTGCTGTGAAGAGGAACGAATGCCACTTAGCGAGGCAGTAGCACCCCTCCAGCCCCAGCTGCTATGCCAGGCCCCTCTCCCAACTGATTTCAAGGGATCTTCAAAGACCCGTATCCTGCCCTCTCACAAAACCAGACCCACCATGGAAGGAGTTTCTCTCCTCCCAGGGAGGCCTTTGAGCACCCCGAAACCCTCACAAGCCTAGAGGGAAGGTCCAGAGCTTCTGTGGCACCGAAATCCCAACTTTACCTTTGCTTCAGAATCAGGAGCTTTTCAGAAAAACGAAGACTCCAAAGCATGTTTGTACTGCACTGGCACTAACATTGGCAGGGACGCAGGTGGCACTGCTGTAATACTACTTAAGTACAGCGGGAAATCCAGCCACTGGCGAAAAAAACTGTGAAGGTATTTTCTGTGCTTTGAAGAGAATGGATGTATCTGTATTTTTCTGGATAACTGAACTAATTTGAAATCACACATATTCCTTAAATGTGTGCTTTAGGTAAATTACAGACTGCATTTGAAAACTATTTCCTAGACGTTAAACTCAATACCCTGAGACTAAGCAGGTAGACTTCCCGGTAACGAACAACTGCACTGGGTGGTTTTTAATTTGCTTCAACTTAGTAGCCACAATCTAGTCAAGAAGCAATTTCAGCATTAGGGTAGAAGAATTGAGATTGCCAGTATTTTGCTTGAAGTTAAGAACAAATATGGATCGTGGCTCATTCGTATATTTTTACATGCAATTTTTAAAGAAGATTACATTCAGAAACAAGGTCTTTTTCTTCAGCTGCTCTTAACACACGTTTTCAAGTTTGGGGAAAAATCCAAACCCATGGCTGAGGTTTCAGTATTTTTTCTTTTTCTTGCTCGACTAGCAGCAATACATAATAAACACATCCTGACTTGAAACTTTAGATGCTGGCAACACTGCATTTAAAAAAACTTGGTAATGACTGCATGCTTCTGGATTGGTACAGCAAGCTTGTCCACACCACTGATTGGAAAAGATGCTGTACCACCTGTCACTTCCATAGCATCAGTTAGTTCCAGGCACACTTTATTCAGGATTATTTTCTTTTAAATGTATTTTTCTTTTATAGATATATACACACACATATATATGTATATACATTTCTTTATATGTAAAAATACATGGGGTTTGCTTTATACATATGTAAAATATTTTATCAGAGAACCTGATGAAAACTCAAGAGCAGCCCCAAATCTGTCTCAGTGTTCCTTAAGATGCTGCGTAGAGCGCGCTCTGCATTTATCTCTAAGACTTGCAGTTATCCTCACCTGAAGTTCCTCTTTCTTCACATGCCATTTCTGCTCCCGTCGTCATTCAGCTGGCACCTCCGACATCTGATAAGCCAGCAGATCTGTTTCAACATGTCCTTCCTGGATTCTTAGGACAAAATTAATCTCACTTAACTTCAGACATCTAGAGCAGAGAGATTTACGCCAATCGCTGCCAGCTCCCACTGCAGTTAGTGAGAAGAGCCAGACCCTTCTGGAGACCCACTCCTCTAACTAACTGCGTGCCACGGCCCTCCAAGGACAGAACAGAAAGCCCACAGGGACCTAGTTCAGATGCAAACATCCAAACTGGTGAGATAAATTCTACTGTCTGTGTTAGGTCTTTACTAACCCCCTTCTATTAATATGCTCAAGATTACAAAAATGTACATTTTGACAATTTAACACTTTCAGCTGTATTTTGTATTCCTATTCATAAAAAATATGCAAACCATTAAAAAAACCACTATAAAACTACATCTTTTTTTTGGTATGTTTGCTTGTGCCAAAACAAGAATAAAATACAGACAAGATTATTGATAGCTGTAAATGTTACAGTTGATGCAAAATAGATAACAATACCTTATTCTCAGGCATTACAACATTTCCCCGTGCGGAGCAGAACCAAGTCTAAATTATTTAATTCAGTGAAAAAAAGTTTAATAAATAATTTCATATGCAGGTTTTCATGAGATGAAATTATTACATGTATCAAGCCTTCTGAATTAAAAGCTACCAAGTATTGAAAAAAACTGAACTCAGAAAAACTTTCAGGAAACAAAACTGGTTTAATACAGAATTCAGGTGTTTGTGTTTATAAATATATATACATATACATACAAGTAAAAGGATCGTAAGGGATAAAATTGCTTTCCTTTACACAAAGGAACAGAAAGGTCTCTGTGCACTGCAAGCATTACCATTTAGCTGCCTGGTGCAACTGCTTTAGCTCCTGCAGGCCCTGTTCACATTTTTGTTACTGGCTTGTATTTTCTTCTGTAGGAGTTCAAAACCAAACCTGGCGGTCTCCAGAGCATAAGGAAAAGAAAGGCTTTGCCTCTTCATAAACCCCCACTTTTTTCAATACAACCGTATACCTATGGGACTGTACGATTTCCGCAAGTATCTTGCAAGATCTGCTGTGTCATTTTAATATTTGTTCAAATTAAGGTCCCTCATTTTAGAAATATCAAACCACAATTGATTCTTTTAGAAGAGAGAACTGGGCAAAATGTTCCACGGAATAAAGTAAATCTCATTTAGTTGTCCCAGACAGACTGCTTCAAACACAGCAGTCTAAACTAAAGATAGCAATCTTATGCAGAGATTAATATGTACACAGAGGATAAAACATGCATACACGCTGCTAAATGTACATAATGCATAGAAAATTAATATTTTCTGAAAAGGCAGTGTTTGTGACTGTATTCTGTGCACAGCTTTCTCAGATGAATTGCAAAGGAAATCTTGGTGTCTCTTGGCAGGCAAAGTTGAAATCAGCCCTTAAAGGATTTACAAGTTGACAAAAACCATAGGCAGCTACCGGATCTAACACTCTTGCATGTTACTTAGTAATATTGCCCTTTTTAGGTTTGGGAAAGCTCATGCACACCCCTCAGTTATAAAGTAGATCTTCCATTCACTGGCACAGTATTCTTTTTTGGGGGGTGGGGTTGTTTTTTGTGTTCCCCCCATGTAACATGTCTTAAGCTTCAGATATGGGTGCTGAGTGCAGCCAGCCTAATTTCAGGTGTCTGAAGTAAGCACAACCCGTGGCTGCTTGCTCTGCCCATCCCTGGAGGGAGGTGTTCCAGCAATGGGGGGAAGCCACGTGCGTGATTCGAGGCAGCTATGGAGAGGCCCCAGTTTACCTCCTCCCATCCCGGGTAGCCCCAAGTCAATGCAAGCTCAACAGCCCGGAACACTGTGGGACCCCAGAGTTGCTGCCTGTGTGATTCGTTCCCCCCTACCTAGAGACGGACGAGGGAAGAGCAGTAATTCCTTTAGGAACTTGAGTTTAACCCATCCAGAGATGTCAGGGTAAACCCTTAGGCTAACAGTGGAAAACCCAGCATTACCTTTGCCGCCTTTGTCATGCAGTCTAAGCTTTTTTGTCTGACAACCCTCAAATATGACATTTTTCCCCCTGACAGTATAGCAAAATATTTTCTGGTTTTTATGGCTGACTGATGGTGAATTGAGCTGTAATGGGAAAGCAAAATGTTTACACAATAAACCTATAAATCATTTTGTAATCATTAGCAAGCATTCTCAGAATCTTACTGCTGCCAATTAGAAACCTAGTTCACTGGAACTGGTCACTCACTATATTATACAAAGGCAAAAAAAAAAAGAAGTCATCGGTCCTTCACGTTCTGAAAAGGGGGATGTGATAGTAGCGGTCGTCCTCGGTCAGGAGAGAAATCTCATTCCACTCCCTTCGGTATTCATCTGGATAGTTTACTTGAAATTCCTCAGTATTAAACCTATGCAGTCTGTAAACTCTGATCTTTACTTCAAGTAAGTATCCAAGAAGACACAGTTCAACCTAAAGATGAAAGAAGTCTGTCAGACTTTTATTTCTAGACTTAAAAAACTAAACCAAAGATAATCCAAGTTAAGGCAAGTCACCTAGCTTCAAAACAGTAGACGAGGAATAAAAGGGGCCCTTTTGTAAGCATAGTAAGAAAATTAAAAATTAGGAGGGTATTCTCAATATTCCAGCAGGCCTTCCACTGCTCTCTTGCATGTAGAGGATATTCTGGTTATTGCTTGACACTTTGGAAACGTCCCTCTTCCACCGGACACAATACGTAACCTGTTCCCAAAAACAAGCTCACACAGCTTAGTGGGGAGCATGAAGGGATGAGCTACTATGAAAAGATGGATATACCTTGAAAAACGGGAAGCCTGCCACCTTGTGATCACTGGCTACATGAGGGAAACATAATAGTAAAAGGAAAAATGTCTTTCTACTTCATGTATATGAAATTTGAGAACTGGAATCTTCATTGACACTTCTTGCAAAGGCTTGTTTAATCTGGAAAAATGCTTTGGAAAAAGCTCATATCCTTGGGCACAGCCAGAGAGAGTAGAACTTGTCGAGTTATAGTCAAACGGCTCCTGAAGGTGACTGCTACATGTAACACTTGACTTGATAAATGAAAGGGATCACAAAAAATAATTTCACCCATTGGAAGGTGAAAACTATTTGCAGAGTGGAAGTGTGAAGCTTAGATGTCAGTACTTATCTCCTCACTAAATACAAAATTGAAAAAAAAAATCTGAACATATACAGGTGAACAATTAATAGAGTTCTCATTACCTGCTCAGACATTAGATTTAATGGGAACCAAAGAGAGGGGGGGAAAAATAATTGATGACAAAGGGTTTGGCATGGTGGAACAGATAGGAAAAGCGAAACAACAGGTCAAATCTGCATAATCTAAAATTATTGTACATATCAAAGTTATTGTTCTAAACTATGTATCACTGATAGCTTGCAGCATTTATTTCTGGCCCAGCAAGAAAACTGCCCACCCCATTTTACTCTACTACGCTTTTTTCCTTGGAATACAAATTAGTATCCTCAGTCCACTTCCCCACATCCCAAAGGAAAAATATGAGCCAGCCATCAGAGATGATGTATGATACGTTCACCTAATCACATCAGAGATGGAATTAGTTTTGTGATGTGTATTTCATTTATATCATTACCTGGTCTAGGCAAAGAGAGTCACCTATGGAGTTCAGATGATTCATCATGAAACTCAAAGGATCAGATGAAGAATCACGAGCAAGGAGAAGGCTAAAAAGGTTGTGTATGGGTTCTTCCCTGCTCTTTATCTGCTCATAGGCTTCAACAACTTCGTAGAGCATGATGAATTTTATGGCCTCATATAGTTTGTGCTCCTTGCTCTCATCAGAAAAGAGTGTATTGCACATGTTTCCTCTTTCTTCATGATCTTTGGTAGCACTTATTTCAGTCCACTGGAAAGCACACAGAAGAATATTAATCCACTTATTAAGAATTCTATTTAATATGAAAGATTTCAAAACAGGAACAATTGCCAGTCTGTACTATACCATTATTGTGGCCAAATGGTGGTGCAAAAAAGCAGGTGGCTCTTTGGGATCTGCAGTGAAATTTGAAGCCTTATGCATTTCAGTTTTCATTTATCCAGCCAAACCTATTTGTTACAGACAGCTCCAAGCATCTGGATGCTAATGATACTCTATGAGAAATCAAATGTAATTCCCCTGTACAAAAGCCACTCTCCATCACCATAGAAAATCCAGGTACCGCTGTCAGTAAAGAGTCTTGACGGGAGCATCAACCACCAAAAGGACCTCAGAAAGTTACAGGAAATCTGTGTGGGCGCGTCAGCCGTATACACTAGGCCATAAGCAATGGTTAGATTAAGTGATGACTCCTGACCTGGTTTTAACTTACAGTTTCCAAAATTCAGTGAATTTCCTCTATAGTACCCTTAAAGTTAAAGTTATCCTAGCTTGAACTCCTTAGAAGCTGAGCCCAATTCAGAAGCATGTCAATTAAAAGGAACCTGTACAAACTGGACAAGCCAGCACGGTATTGTGAGGTGTACACGTCTGTATGTATGTCTTTAGTGCGTTCTGCTTCATGAGGTCAAGATAAGTTGGCTGCACAAGAAGGGACATGACACAGACATGCACAGGACATGGAATGGGATAGGAATTTTTCATTCTGCTTACAACTCCTGAGCTCTCCATTGCTCTAGTGGGGTGAAAAGCCAGTGCTCACACCCAGAAAATGGGCCGTCCATGAGACAGTGTTGGACTGGGCATCAAATCAGAAAGCTGAAAGCACCCAGTCCTGTACACAGTGGCTAAAAAGTGTCAGCTGGAATGGAGAGGTTTTTTTGGGATCACAATAAGAGACGATGCTCAATGACTGGGATTCAAATGAATTTCAGTTAATTCTGTGCTTGTATCATTTATATGTTGAAATGGCCATAAACTGCAAATTGCAACAACAAAAATCTAATTTACCTGTGAATACTAAATCGAGAAACAGATCCCCCACCTCCTCATGCATTCCTGAGGACTTTCCTTACAGGTTAAAAATGGGACCAAGTGGATGAACCACTACTGCCCCTTTGCCAGAGGACCTCTACTACCTAAGTGGAAAGCCTGTCCTGAGTGTGAAGCACCTACATGGCCCAGGCACGACAGCATCTGCAGGCAGCAGCCCACAAGATGGTGATGGAACTGGAAAGGGCAGCAGAGGGGCAAATGTCCCCAGCTTACCCAACAACCAGGAACACTTCTGTAGCTTGGTCAATGGAGGCAAGTCTGGAGTGAGGCCCAGACTCGTAAGTCTGGGGTACGTAGCAAGCCTCTTGGGGGGAAGAGGAGGAAAGCGTGCAGGTATATGACTAATACTCCTTGAAAGGCTTGAAATACCTTTGGCAGTGACCACTCCCCACCACCCCTGTGTCTTTAAACCATAGCTGGAGCAGACGTGGGCATCTGTAAGTCTCAGACACTAAGTACTATTTACTAAATCTGGCTATCCAAACTCTGTGGAAGCATACAACGCTTCCTAGAGTATCAGCTGAATAAAGAACTAAGTACACAGTTAAGCACAGCAGAACCCAAACTCCCAGTGCTGGCTTCTTAGCACTTTTCACACTACTAAATGTACCATAAAACCCTGTTAGTGAAAACTGGCAAAAATCCCTATCAGTGGCCAAACAGCATCTTTATAAAAAATTAAATAAAGTTGGGAGCTAGACCTCATGCCCAGTAAGAGCACAAAGTGTAATACAGCTGCTTTGCAACAATTTGTTAATGGTACGGAATTGTCTGCCGTGTGGACTTGAATCTTTTTTTCTGTACAAACTTACAAAGGACTACAAGAAGACAAAAATAAATGCCTAACAACCCAACAGAGGCAAACGCAAAGAGTGACCAGAACAAAATGGTAACTGCAGGCAAGAACCACCGGGCACATCTCAAGAAGACAGGCAGCTGTCACTGTGGCACAGCAAGGTTGCAGGCAAGGGATGAGGACCAGATCCCTATTTTAATTCCCTCTTTTTATTACTAATGCTTTGTTTCTAGAGCTAAATCAGTCTATTTGTGGTTGGTTGTTTTTCTTTAAGTAACAATTACTATCATTGAAAATAAGGTTTAAAACTACAGAGTTGTGGCTCATATACACAGGGCCACATAAAAGAAACTAGCTTAAATGCGTACCAGTAAAATAAGCTGCTGTGGCTGTGGCAAGACAACCCAGAACCATAAGCCGTATCACAGAATAAAAAAATGACAGTTTGAGGTCTGATACCCTGGATAACGGATGCCTTCAGAGAAGCATTTCAACCTAATCTTGGCCAAAACCCTGGAGTCCAGCAAATACCAATACCCACTTGATGGTTGCGACCTGGGAGAACATGCAAAGCAACTGCCTGGCAGGAGGAAGATGGGGAGGAGAGGGGTGGTGGCGGCGTGCTAGGAACGGTTGGTGGCAAAGCAAACGGGAGCGGACCACAGCTGACCCAACTGCAGACATGCAGAAACCCCAGGGGAGCCTGAAGAAGGTGCGAGGTCTTGTCAGGCCAAATTTTTCTCTCTGTTTCAAAAGGCTTTGGGGCTACCAAAACTCCTGAAGTTTTAAATATGTAAGTAAGAGTTATGCTTCTGGTTGCGAACGCAGGCAATGTGGCTCTGCTGAGCAGAAGGGGCAGTGAGGCTGACAGGTCTTTGTAATCAAGTGCTTCAGGTTACAGAGAGGAATTGTAGTAAAACTGGATAAATACAGTATTTCACCAAGAGAGAAGCAGAGGAAAGACCATAGTTTGAGAAGAAAATACACTGTTTGTTTGTTCTGTCCCTTTTGGGGAGGGAATCTGGGAGGATCTCATACGGCATGTTGGTATTTTTAACCAAAATGATGAGGTGCTGTAGGGACCGCTTGATGGCAAGGGCAACTAACCATGCAGCAGCTAACAGCTGTGGGGAGGATGGCCTCCCTAACTTTCAGGAGAACCCCTAGTATTTAACCTAGTAGATCCCCAAAAGCTGGATTCCCCTGCAGGAGAGGCGATGGCCTGCCCAGCAGCTCAGCGCTGTGAATCAGAGAATCATAGCATGGTTTGGGTTGGAAGGGACCTTCAGAGGTCATCTAGCCCAACCCCCCTGCAGTGAGCAGGGACATGAACCTGGGAGGGAGGCTGACTGCCACAGAAATATGTAACAAGAAGCAGTTCCCTAACGCTGTCTCAACTCATTTCTCAGTGCTTTTATTCCCCCAGCCATTTCCTAAATACTCACGTTTGTCTTTAATGTCTCCATACATTTGCGCAATTTACCAAAGGCATTGGGACCCATGTACCTTTCTGGCCCAAAACTGTATTGCTGAATCCAGTTGCAACCCTGAGAATATAAAAGCTTTTCAGGGAGCTGGGGGAAAAAACAAAAAGCTAATTAAGCAGAGATTGTAACCATAGCAAGAAGTAGAATATAAAGTTATATAAACTTGTCTACACACATTTTAATTTACAACGTGGTTGTGTCCTCTGATTGTACAGTTCAAACAACATAAAAATGGGCTTCAGAACAACTCAAGTATTAAGAAGGAGGCTCCGCTTGACTGCCAAGTCCTTAAGAAACTTTTAAAACAGGGCCAGCCAAAAAAGAAGAAAACATGCTCTCAGCAAAATATATAACCTGCACTCTGGAAAAGCTGGGTACGTCTGAACTCTGTGCATTTTTTAGGATTACAGGCACCTTCCAGCTTGCGCACGCATCCTCACAGGCAGCAGCTATGGCTCCCCACCTCCCCGCTGCTGTCTCCTTCGGAGCCCCTGGAGCCCAGGGCAGGATTCCTGCGGCTCCAGCAGATGCTCAGCAGCTCCCAAGTGAGGCACTGGGCTTTGCACGGATGTGGATGAGGAGGACTCAGATATCCTTTTGTGTTAAGCGAGGGACATCTAGCAGGGCAGCAGTAACGTTTATCCATACACTTTTTTTTTTATTTTTTTCCCATTTAGACTCACATTCACTTCGGTACATTTAGATCAGGAACACTTTTTCAAGTAAGTGTAGCTCAAAGAGTTTGAAAAACCTTCTCTTTAAATTCTGATAACAATTCTCCTCTACTTCCATATCCCACCTGTCAGTTTTCACATTGAACAAAGCTTCCTTCTGCAGTGCAAGGTCACCTGAACCACATTCATCTAGGAAATGGATTTTACCTTTAATATATCTCTCTCCTTCATCCATGATGGAAAAGGAATGCCTTGGCTGAATATCTGAAAAAGCACTGCTCTTAGTACACAATAGTTGTCCCTCCTGACTTGCCGCAGATATTTGATATGATAGCTCCAAAACAATTCTTCATATGCCTAGAAAAAGACAAAAAAAAAATTAGCAATAAACATTTTAAATCTCAGACCAAACCATGTTGAACTGTAGTCTGATTCCAAACTACTCATAAGAGGGGGTTAGAAGAAAGAGCAAGTATATTTATAAGTTTTATATATACAAAAATGTTCAGACTTCATAGGTTTTGTAAACACCTTACACTGGCACTGCCCCATAGGAGTGATTCTGCACTCTCTCCAAACCCAGCAACTTCCTCCAGTCTCTGCACTGCTGCCAGTGTAAACACTCACAGGGTCAACCAAAGCACAACAGATGGGTGAAGACTTCTTCGCCATAATAGCTTTAACCCCGACTGCTTCACAGCATGTGCCAAGACGTGGGATGGAGCAGTAAAAGGGCAGGAACAAGCATCTGGAGGAGACTCCTTTTGGCAGGAACATCTTCCCGCACTGACCCGAATCCATCATGCAGTGGTGACCTAAGCAGATCTGGTGGCTCTGTGCTGACGCGGATGGCCCTTCATCCAGCTACACCCACCCTGCATTTCCTCTGCATTACCTCTGGCTCTCATCTGAGCCCTTGGTGAGACAGTTCAGATCAATAAACTAGCAGAGAATTAGAAAAGAGGACTCTACAGTTCCACAGGCTGCTGCCTCAGTCTCCCAGTTTGCTTCCTGAAGGGCGCAAGCAGACGGTCTCAATTCCTAGTCCTCTTCCACCTCAGTTGCTTCCTCACCCCAGCCCAACACCACTTCTCAGCTGCAGTCTCCCCTACTCTTACTTTGCGTTGGCTGTGATAGTAAGCCTACTGAATTCACCCAGCTGGGGGAGCTTCCTGCTGCTTCATCACGCTTGGGTGGCTCAGAGAAGCGTCCTTCAGGATGACTGGCTCCATCAGCTCACCAGCCTGGTGGACCGCATCCAATGGAAGATGTAAGAGCCAGCACAAATGAGAGAGAGGGACTGCTTAGCGAGAATGCAGTGAGGAAGAGGGAGAGACGAGACAAGCAAGGGGCTGCCCCTTTTGGGGACAGCAAGCAGGCTAGGCTGGCTCAGGATCTCATGAGACCTCATACTAAAATGTGCTCCTTACTGTGGTAACTTCTACGTGATCTAACCAGCCATCCACCCACTGCCCTAAATAACGGAGTCTCCTTTTCAGCTCTGACCACCTAGAATGGATTTTCTGAAAGGCTTGTTGCCCTGTATCTTTTTTGCAAATTTATTAAAAGTATTGCAATCTTCTTTTTACTTGTTCCTCCAAATCACTTCTGGCCTTGCTGTGTGTTGTTCTGAGCACTTTTGGCATTGCTGCGTTCCTGCATTTAAGCTGGTGAAGTTGGATCCTTTCTCTTTTCATCATTTGGACACAACTCCAGCTTTTTGAAAGATACCTTCTTTTCTCTCATAACTCCCTTATGCTGCTGTTTAGCCTTGTCAGCTTCATTTTGCCCTTTATTAAGTCCTCCTTGTTATGCATTTGCTCTGTGATTCCATGACCTAAAGCTATATATATATATATATATGTCAAATACACTGACCGTATATATTCAGGACTCTTAGCTGGTTTTAGCTTCTTTTTAACATACTTCCTTGTTTTTATGTAGTTTCCCTTTCTGAAGGTGGATGCAACTGTGGTTTTTTGGGCTTTTTGCCTTGTTGTTCTTGCACACAAGTACGTGCCATCTCCTGTTCCAGAGAACAGCCACAGAAATTAGAAAGCAACATTTTGAGGCAGGTCCTGTGCGCTGATCAGGACCAAGGCAAGGGCTGCTTCCTTTCCTAAAGGCTCCTTGAAAAGCCAATCCATGGAATGGTCACTGGCGGCACCCTGAAGTTCAGCCCCACCACTGTTGCCAGTGCAGATGGCTAGCTGGTGTCTCTCATTGCTGCTGCAGCTCCTGCCCCCTCTGCCTTTTTGTTCTCTCTCAGCATCTCATGGGCAGTGTTCCCACTGCCATCAGATCACCAGAAATATGGACCCAGTGCTACATTTGTCTGAAATGCCTCACCATGAGGACACCAGGATATAACATCTCAGTTTGCCGATCCACTGGATTTGACTCTAACCTGGTTTTAAGATACTTACTATGCTACCACCGGTACGGCTGCTTCAGCTGTAAGTTTTATGGGAAAAGTAAAAATCCAGCCCATGGTCTCTGAGCCTACCTTGGTGACCAAGGCTTAACACAGTTGAAACAGAGCACCATAAAACACATGTTTGCTCTTCTTTGCTCCCGAGGCCCGTCCCTATCACAGGTTAGCATACTGTAGGGCTGCTCCAACTTCAAGCACTGGTCAGGGCCCTTCAGAGGGCATGGCTGCTCCTGCCGTGCCCCCCTGCCATGCTGCCTCCATTAATGGCCACCAAGACATAGCTGCCAACAGCCCAGTGCACCGGCAATAACATACGTCCTTTGTGGGAAGTGCAGGGGCCATTTCTGCCTATCGGGTGTAAGCACGTACACGCAATGTACAGAACTGAAAAACACGTTGGTGAGCTGACAGAAAACAGCATATCTAGTGTTGGTGAACCATGAATTTAGGAAGTCCTTGGCTTGGGAGTTCAGCTATCCATGACCCAAAGCACAGTTCAGTGCAGCTGAACTCCATCCCCTTGACTCACAGTTACGAAGAAAACTTACTAAGCTGCAAGAAACTATTATCTCAGCTAAAATGATACAAGGTAAGAGAAATAAAAATCCAGGGAGAAGTATAAATATTAAGATAGTCACAGCTAGCAGCTCAAAGATACAAGAGGGAAAAAAAGAGAAGAAAAAAAATCCCCCACAAAAAGCCTCACATGGAAAAGAATAAAAACCATAGAAGAAAACAAAAAAAAAAGATAATCAGAAAAGAGCAGCACCAAGGATTAGCCGATGCCCACAAGCAGCAGCAGCAGCAGCAGCTACCACCTCCCCATGCAGCCCAGGGCTGTCTCCAGCCACCCCTCAGGGGCTCATCGGGGTGCCGAGGATGACGAGGACATAAGCTGTGAGATTAGTAGCTTGTTCGTCCTAGCTACGTGCCATATGAGGCAGTGGGAGCTGCCGGGGGTAGTTAACCTGCGTGCATCCTGCTTGCGGTGCCTCGTGCTGGGGAAGAGGCCGGTGCAGAAGAGCCTTGGCCACACAGCGCCTGGGGTTTTTTTACCTTAAATTGAAGGCTGGCCAAGAGACAGCACCTAAGACCAAGTTATTTGGGCTATAGCACTGGGGATGATTTTTCCTACTAAAGCCGCTGCGTGGGTCGCTGGTGCTACAGGGGGAATTTGGAGAAGGTGCAAGACCAAAACCTGATCTACACTTTGACCAGCTCTGCTGCAGCCTTTATTTAGACCCGTGTTCATGCTGTCCCTTTTGCTTTTCACTTGACCAGCAGGCTCTGGTAGCTGCAGCAGCTGCTTGCCTAGGAGTGCTATTCCTTCCCCAGGTACTTCTGCTCCCCTGTCCTCATGCAGAGATTAAAATTTGAATCTTACCTCCCTCATGAGTTTGGCCTGCTTTGTTTCTCCTTTCCATTCTCTCGCACTATAACCAAGTAGATCAACTTCGGTCAGCACACTGAGATTCCCTAAATCGAGATCAATTCACAGATTAGTTACCTTCTGCTGTTCCTCATCCAAAGGGGTAGTTGTGGGGAGGGGGGGGATTAATGAATATGGAATGACAACAAAAAGATTACTTATGAGCTTTCTCTGAAGGTAGTTGCTGCACCTGAAATCCAAATGATAAAACAGATGTCAAAGAGGAGTTGTCAAAGGTTGGTATCTACTGAAATAAGCATCAACGTGGAAGATTAAGGTCTGCATAATAAAAGCCTACCGTTTCAGTAGCTGTGCTAAAAAGCCATACAGCCTTCTGCAATACCAAAAAACAGCAACAAGGAAAGACATGCTTAGCATTAGCTGCGCCTTCACTTTTTGCCACACGAGACGCAAGGATTGTTTGGTGGCTGTTGTCCAGGAATGCACCTCATACCTTCCTAAAATAGGGATAAAAAGAGGGAAAAAAATCGTGTCACTCTTTTGCAATACTTGTTTCTATTTGTTTTCTTACAAAAAGAAAAATCATTCACGTACAATACCACTCGAAACACAAAACTTGAGATGTAAATGACAAGTGTATTTTTAAATACGTAATATATATTATTTATATACTGAGTTTTCAGGTTTCTAGGGTTTTGGGTGTACGTGGTTCACATTTCCAAGCTGTCCTCTACACAGCAAAGGCTGGATATATAGTTACAAGGGAGTCACAGGAAGACTGATACCAAAGCAACTGTTCAAAAACAAAAACAAATTTATTTATTTTTTTGCTTCAGGATGTACTGATCCAGAGACCTGTACCGTCATTACTTTGTCACGAAGCCAAAGTTTTAAAGACCAGGTGTTCCTGGGAGTTGTAGTCTATAAATGGGCCATATAAAGCAATATTAGCTGACTAAGCATCATATGACTTCCCGGGGAATTAAAGGAAAGTTCCTGCCTCAATTTGGGTAAATTTAGGGTCAATTTAAAACTCTGGAGAAAGCTCCTCCCCAGGGATTTGATAGAAAGCTCAGGAAATCATTGCAAAGGGGGTGCACTCTCACTGTTACTTCACAGACCTAACCAGGACACATTTCTGACGCTCCCCTGGCATCACAGGCAGGGTTAGGGAAGGATTTGGTTGTCTGTTATTGATAAGGAAACCTAGAACTGAGAGAGGGCCTGGAGACTGAATAGTTGACAAAGGCGGAATCCGCTCCCTGAGCAAGAAATTTATCCTCTGGCTGAAATTTAAGTATAGGAAATTCCCAGAGTTTATGATCAACAGCTGATCTATTATGAACTTATTTATTGATTTAGTACAAGGCTTTAAGAGAACTCAACTTTTTATGAAGGCTTCCCCAAAGAAGGCTGAAAAGATCCCTCTCCAGGGAGCCGACAGAGGGAATTACTCACTCAGCATAGTTTTATGTCAGTTGAACTTCTGCCCCTCCTGGCCTTAACGGGAAATTTAAGAGGGGCTTAAGTTTTTCCAAGCCACTTAAGCCCATGCACTGTGGACAAGTATCCAGGCAAAGAGTTACGTGTGAATCCCAACCTCGGCCATGAGGTAAAGAGCTAGGCGTACACTTTTACAAGCATTGCTGATATTTGGCCTTTTCCAGTACTCTGTTGTCTGAAGAAGCTTTATTACAGGATGTCAAGTGCAAGTTGTCCAGAGGCAAGAGCCAGACCTCATCTCTCCCGTGAACAAAAAGCAGGGTAAGAGCTGTAAATGACAAGGTGTTAATAAACTTTAAAGAGGTAATAGGGGAAGCTTTTGGGGTGCTGGTTCTCCTTTACACAAAACCTGTGCTGCTGTGAACGCTTTTCATACAAGACAAAGGAGAGGTGAGGTCTTCTGTCAGCTTCTACTCCTCAGCGTCCCTGGCACGACCGGGGCTCACGCCTGCAGGCTCCAAGTACGAAAAACCAAGACGCGCACTCACGGGCAACCAAAAAGACCGAAAATCTGAAGCTGCAGGAAACGTTTATTACTGCTGCCAAGTGACAAACAGCGAAACATCAGCTGTAAGGTTTGAAAATGGCATAGCTCATGGAGACACCGGGACATACACAGACACACACCTACTGCTGATGGATACCAATAGGCACGTTCTCAAGAAGCACCCAAGTTGCTACCTAGAGAACCGGCCACTGAGAATTCGCAACAGACAACAGTCCTGGCAGAATCAAGCCACCGCAATTCTTTCCTCTCTCTTCTTTAGGATAAAGGCATCAGCATTGAAAAAGCCTCGGTAGGCTGTAAATAACTGAATCTAGAAGGGAACCTGAGGGCTTACAAATGTTGTTCAGCCCAAGGATCAGTGAGTATTTTGGATTTACATTGTCATGCTGTTGTACGAAAACAAATGATGATTCAAATGAAACTCGTTAACAGCAATTTAAACATACAGTATTAAAAGGAAGATGCAGCAGGCTTTCATTTTGTTACTTAAAATGACTGTATGGGCCCTCTTTTGATTTTGAACAAACTGGGACTACAAAGAGTGAGAGCTGGCCCATCTGTTAATATGAGATACTTTGCTTTATGGAGTACCAGAAATACAAACGAATGCAAACTTTTTTCCTTTACCCCTTTCACAGGCAAAAAGATGAGAAGTCTGCATCAGCTTTTAAGCTGAATCAAGCAATCTTTTGAAAAAGCTTTTGATGGTATTAATCCCGAAAAAAACCTACTGGAGTCCAGCAGACCCCCTTTCAAGGCATATGGTTAACAGGAGCATGAGCGACTCTTCTTCAGGGAGTGCTGGGAAGCACTGGCTTACTGATTTCCATCAAAAACACAAATCGAGAACGAGATAAGCAAATATTGCTCATCCATTTTTATTTAATATGGGGGATTTATAAGTAGGTATTTCCCTAATAAAACACTTAATGGGAGATGGGAAAACCTGCAAACAAGTGATTTTCAGTACTTTTGCTACACTTGCAATACAGCATACCCTGGACTTGATAAACTTTCCCTCCTGTCATGGGAAAGCTGCTGTTTGAACAGCACTTTGCGATTCAGTTGCTACTTTCTGTGCTTATGTCACACCTAGAAATGTAATTACATCTTTTTATTCAAGTAAATGACATTTAGAAGTGGCAATTGGATCGCAAAGTGCTGCTGGCAAAAATACATCACGAACAAGACACGAATTAAAGAAGGGGGCAGTTTAAAATAGATCTCTCCACACCCCCCCCCGCCCCCTCAGAAATTCTTCAGAAACCGAAGAGCAATTGAATTAATAAGGCAGGGGTGGGGGGAGTAAAATAAACCCACGGATTTTTAAACCCAACCCATTCCCTGGGATGCAGACACAATTCGTCCTGGGCCTCAGGGGACAGCATCAACCCCCCCAGCATTGCGAGCAGCTGCTGGGCTCACGTCCTCCTGAAGACCGACCGTGGCCAGCACTGCAAGCATCTCCCACGCAGGAGGGAGCCCTGGGACTTCTAACACTGCTCCTAGCAGAAATTTGGAGGAACAGAGGTTGAACAGCGCTGAAGGAGGGGCTGATAGCAGTGTTTATCTTACAGTGCAAGCAGTACGCCGTGTTTTCTTTTCTTGTCACATCATCGACTTCCTGCTAGCGCCAAACTTTAAGCTTTTACCCCCCACACAAAGTCACCACGAGAGACATGCAGAAGAAAAAAAAAAAACACAACAAAAAAACCCCAAAATAAAAAAGGCCAGAAAAAAGATGAGTAAGAGACATACATCTGCAACATCTGCTTCTTTCACAAATAACTCAAGAAGAGTCTTTAAAGGATTAGCCCCACATGTGACTCCCTCACAGCTTTTTTGGAGGCTGCCACCTTGAAAATGTGTAACTGATGAAATGCAAAATGTAAGGGATCAGCCTGGGAACTAGCAGGCAGCCCTGTACGCAGCGCTGAAGCATGACTCAACATTCCAGCATGTCTGATGGCACCTTCACCCTTCTATTTTTTTCCTCCCTCCCTGTAAGAAGGCCATCAGGTAGGTAACATCGAGTGTCTTCCAAAATTAAAAGCTGACCGTGTGACTTCTTTTCAGGACATCCCTCTTCATGGTCTTTTTGGTACTGAAGGCAGGACACAGCACTTGTTACCATGAAGTGGCCACATCTCATACTCCCGTCACACAGCACTACGTTCCTAGTTCCCAAAAAGCAGGAATCCCCTCCCTTAAATGAGGGAGGCAGAATTTGGGATCCCTCTGTTCCAACCGTTCTGCTGCCCACCCGTACCCCTCCTTCTCCCTCCTCTCTCTCTTGGATCCAGAGCTAGGGAGGGAGACCCCTCAACTGGAGGTGCGAGGCTTGGCACGGAGGTCCAAGTCTGCCTGCATCCAGTTGGTGTCTGCGGAGCTCTCTTGGCAGTCTCACGTCGCTTTTTTTTCCAGACTACGTAGTACCGGTACCGAGGTACGTTACAAAAGAGGCTAGGTCCCTCTTTTAAGGGAAAAGAAGCAAACTTATCCTCGTAGAGCAGGCATCAGCGTAATGCACAGATGCGCACATCTGTACATCCACCTCAACAGACAAAAAGCAATTAATTATACAAGTTCTATACCTACAATAGATTACACCCCATAACAGTTTATAAGAGAGAAACGTGCCTTTTGAAGTAGTGCCAAGTGATTACAAAGTCTTTGATTTCCCAGTTTATTATCAGTGCCACACCAAAAAAAATAGGAAAAACTGCTGAAAACAAAACAGATCAAACACATACCAAGACATGTGGGAAGCGCTGCTTAATTCAGTAACTATTTCATTACGAAACCCTTCCTTCACAGAGCAAAGCAATGTCAACTTGTTAAGCAAATCTTCATCTGTTCTAACGTAAACAACTAGGGATGAGGATCTCTACTTGGTGTAAGAAGAAAAAGAGAATAATTTACAGGCAAAGATGGCAATCATCAGTCACTTACGAGAAGTTCAACCATGTCTGCTGATCAGACCTCAACTTCTACTCCAAAAGAGTAACAAACCAGAATCCCAGCCCCAAACCGTAACTCGAATCATGCCATTACCTAGGAAAGAGAACGCTTCCAGTAGCACTGAGGCCCACCACCTGCCAGAAAGGCTTTATTTGCACAGCTCTCCTGCAGGAGTCCCAGGTGCTCTCTCAGCCCTTGCCCCCCTTCTGGAAAGATCTTTCAGGAAAAATAGAGCAGAAAGGCTGGCAGCCTTCTCTGGACTCCCTGATCGGACCCAAACTGCTGCAGTAAACGTTACCTATCCAGCCGTGACACTTCTTTATTCCTACTCTGTAGCAACAGGCGTAACGCGCTCTTACCTACTATCATCTGATTATCTAAAATATACGCTATTAGAGTTACCTTTACAAAACCAATTTCATCTATATAATCAAGATATTAATGTGTGCCCTAGCCTGCACATACCATTTCTCTCCCTCCAAATGCCTACAACAACAAAAGGAAAGTTTGGTTCTTCATCTCCTGTATAATTCAGCTTCCTCTTTAAAGCACAGGGTGCTTCATCCAGGACCTTCAGATGAATAAAGCTCAGCTACACTTCCATTTACATAAGAAAAAATGTGAGAAGCCTTCCGAGATCTACAGTCTGGAGCAATATATGAAAAGCATTTCGTGACATAAAACCCAAGTATCTCATTAAAGCTCTTATTCCTCTTCCTCTCTTATGAGCGAAAAATAATGAAAAAATAAAACCACCTCCTTTTAAAGAAGAAGCCTCTGTGATGACTTTTTTTTTTAATGTGGAAAAAATCCATCCTCATCCACAATTGCTATTTAATGCCTGTACACTTCAAACAGAACTTACGTAAATGCACTAAATGTATTATTTGAAGGAAGCCCACTCTAAGGATCCTTATCACGCCTGCTGCTGAGCTGCATGTTGAGTCATCCCTAATGCCGCTCATGTTTGTTTCTGGTTTATCTATTTGCAAACACAACTCTCAAAATGCCTTTTATAATTCTTTTTTTTTTCCTGTGCTGAATCCAAACTGACACAGTAAAGGAAGTATTTTCCTCCTGAGCATCTTCTTACGCTTAAGTTCAGCTGAAATGCTTAGTGGTATAAATACCTTGGGTTTTTCTGCTGATTTGTCTAGATAACCGAAACATTGGTTACGGGGGGGAAAAAAAAAATGTTGAAGTCTTAGCCATAAGAATTCTTTTCCCCCTCCTTTTTTTAAATCTTGTTTGCAAGACAGCATGGGACTGGTACTCACAGCCCATCCAAGGACGCGCAGTCATTAGGGGCTAACGAGGCTGGCTGGGGCCCCAGGCAGCATCCCACCAGGGCTCCCCGGGCAGAGGTCCAGCAGGCTGCGGCAGCAGAGGTGGGAAGAGCCCCCGGCCCCGCCCACCCCAGGGCAGCAGGACCTTCTCCAGCCTGCCGCCTGTCCGCCTGAAGGAAGGGACTGGAGGGCTCTGCGACTCCAGCAAGGGGTGAAGCAGCGGCCGCCAGGCTGGCACCGGAGGAGGGATGCAAGCGGCAAAGTAGAGGAGCCCCCCAGCTTGGCAGACGAGGAGGGGTGAAAGACACCTGGATGGAGGAAAGGGGAATGTCAACAGGAACCCGCAAGGGAGAGATCCCAATGTGAGCAGCAGAGAGGAAAACAAGCTGCTTATTGGACTCTTACTGGCACTTACTGGCTGCTTATTAACAGCGCTCCTAGGACAAAACACCCCTCGGGCAGCCCCGGGTGAGTCCCCAGCCCCTCATCGGTCACCAGCCAGCACATTCCTGAACAGTGGCTTGACACTTGAGGGGTCCTTTGCTGAAATGCCATAGCCCACGGGAGAAAGCAGCAAGAAATGCCTGCCAACGCTGTAGGCATGTGCTGCAGGACAGTCCAAGCAGTTCTAAGTTTCCACCTGCCCATAAACAGTTATCCCAAGTGATGGATGGGAAAAGAGCAGCATCGAGTAACCCACGGCAAACAAACAAAGATGAACTCATCTGAGGTTGTTTACTGTCTAAGCAGCATCAGTCACAGCTGCCGATTCTTACAGGCGGTGCCTACGACTGCCGTCAGGGAAAGACCCTGCTTTGAAAGCCAGCCCCCTGTGACCAGGTCACATCCGTACAGCGCACTCGTCGTTCCCATCTCCGTACAGGGTCCCACCGCTGTACCCGCATGACACAGATTTTACATCTGTCTTCAGAGCACAGACCTCTCCCAAAGCGACCCAGACTCGGCGTGCAGTGAAGTGCCATGCAGAGTTCTGGGGTTTTTCATACAGGTTAATAATCGTGTATCATTTATGGTTAATAATCACAAATAATTCACATCTCCTGGTGGTGCGTCAGATCACAAAGCCTGTGCTTTCCTGCTAGGTAGGTGCGGAGGTTGCTCCAGCTGTGTTACTGGCTTGCTTGGGAGTTTTACTTCTCTCTCTCCCCCTTTCCAAGACGGGTTAGAAGTGGAAGGGAAAGGCAACAGAAAGCAAAATATCAAAGCCATCACTCTGAATGCCACTGGCAGAAATTGGTCTTGCGCCTCTCTCTCCCTGCCTCTCAACGTCCAGCCTGATGAAAGTCAAAACTTCAGCTTTATTCTGCCAAGCTAATGCTGTTAGGGGGCAGCCCTGTAAGGGGAGCAGCCGGGGTGTTTAAACCCTGCTCTCTCTTCGTCTTTTTAAGGGCAACAGTTTCAAACTGGCATTTTTGAATTAGCACACGCACATAGGAGTCCTCTGCCTTTTCCTGAGAGTGCATTACCAGGCACTTCTTGCCTAAAATCTTAAGCAAAAAAGGCATGTTGGAAGGTAAAACTGACTGCATCAGGATAACTTACATTTCAGTCACTACCACTCAGTGCAATACCAAAGCGTAATACCAGAGCTAGTACAAACATTTCAGAAAAACATGATTCAAGAACCCAGAATATTCTGCGTGGAAGCTCTCTGTTTGTAAAAACACAATATTATTATTGTTAATGCACATTTGGATGCCAAGAGAAGCTTCAAGCGAAGCGCTCCAGACATGAGTCGCAGGGACCAAGAGACCATGGTTCCCTGACACCTCTGCATTTGCATTAACTGCCTAAAAACTGGGCAGTTATGTGGCAAGGTCTACATGAGATACAAATTATGCAGCCCTGTAAAATATGGTGAAGTGTGACCCTGCATATCAAGCTCTTCTTGAAGGGCTGGTGCTTGGCAGAGGCACAACTTAGTTTCACTTGTAAACTACGAAAATGGAATACGGAGTCCTGGCCAGTTTCTAGCCTTGCAACCCGGTGGTGTCATTTTTAAAGACCTACAATGGTATGAAATCCCCTGTTTTTAAGACCTCAGCCTTTGGCAAGCATGTCACAGCTGAAATCCGTGCACAGGAAGTGACACAAAATGGGATGAGGAGTGAAGGACAGCGAAGACGCCCGCGGGTCGCTCTCGGACAACCGCGGCAGGCACACGGACGGCGCGGAGCCACGCTGAGAGTGAAACAGGGGGAGACCGGTAGAATGCCTCTTTGCCATGCAGACAGACCTGAAACAAGTGTTTAAGCTTGCAGAAAGACTGATTTTGCGCAAACTCGGCAATTAAAACCTTGCCAGCGTCTCCCCGGTGGCATCTGACCTGCGGGCAGCGCCAAGCACCTTGCCATGGTGCTTCTTCGTCGCACAGACGGTAGGGCAGGCTTGGTGACAGCCAAAGCCCCACGCACACCGCGCCGCATCAAGGCACTAGTTTGACGCCAAGGCACACACGTCCCACGTTCATAGCACCGTTCACCCAACGTGGCCACCCTGCCCTGGAAACACAGGTGCTAAACACTCAAAAAATCTGTAAAATCTCGGTGATGTATTATGGACAAGGAACCTGAGACGGGGGTCTTGCCCAAGACCACCTGCAGAGCTAGCGGCAGGACTAGAGCCTGAACATATACAGCCACATCATCCCATATTTTTAGCCTTCCACCGTAACGCGATGTGGCTCAAACAAGACACCACCACTCTTCTGCTCAGCCCACAGCCTTCTCCTCAGAGAAATGTTTGTTGAAAGAAATGCCTGGGCAGCACAAGTTGCCTTCCTAGCCACATCTCTCTGCACAGGTATGTGGTGTAAGTGGCATCTGTCCCCACCGGTGACATGGGGACAGGAGCTGGAGACACACCTCCTCACTCCGTCAGGAGCTTCCAGCACCTCCACACAGGCTACAGAGAAGTCCTGAGGATGCCAAAAATGTGCAGTATCGCTCCTCAGCAGTGAAAAAAATGGGAAGAAGCTACAGAGACAGAATAAGGCTGAAAAGAAACTAAAAGC